TATTTTTATTTTTCAGAATATTAAAGGGGTAAAAATGTTTGGGTTACATATATTGTCTTTGCCCCACAGGAGTCAAAGCTTCAAGTGTGTCCATCCCCCAGACAGTGCACACTGCACCCATTAGGCATGAATATACCAATCCCCTCCTCACCCTATACTCGCCTGACACCCGATGCTTGTTACTATTATATGTGCACATAAGTGTTGATCAATTAGTACCAATTTGATGGTGCTTGTTTTTCCATTGACTTTCCTCTTAATTTTTTTTTTTTTTTTGAGACAGAGTCTTGCTCTGTTGCCCAGGCTAGAGTGAGTGCCATGTCGTCAGCCTAGCTCACAGCAACCTCAAACTCCTGGGCTCAAGCAATCCTGCTGCCTCAGCCTCCCAAGTAACTGGGACTACAGGCATGCACCACCATGCCCGGCTAATTTTTTCTATATATATTAGTTAGCCAATTAATTTCTTTCTATTTATAGTAGAGACGGGGTCTCGCTCTTGCTCAGGCTAGTTTCAAACACCTGATCTTGAGCAATCCGCCCGCCTCGGCCTCCCAGAGTGCTAGGATTACAGGCGTGAGCCACCGCGCCCGGCCATTCTCTTAATTATTTTTGATCATTCTAGTAAGTCCTCATGGGCCAGGATTCACTGGCATATTTTCTAAGCTGTTAAGCCCCAATTCAGAAACATAACCACATCTTCCTTCCATATACTACAATTATAAGCAGTTAAGTCAATGTCTTTCTGGAGTTAAAAAAATGTATTCTTAATATTGATTTCTAAAAGCCATTATATTATTATCTTCAATGTTAATTGTGTTGCTTTCAATCTACCATGTTACCCATAAAGGGGCAAAAGTGATGATGAAAGTTATCAGAAACAACAGACAACCCATTGATCCCTCCATCAGAACATGCAATTGTATGCAGTGGAGACAGTTGGGAGGATTATAAAAACGTGGATATAATTGGGTTGAATTTATTTATTTTTCCTATGGCTTTGGCATATTACTGGAGGAGAGTCCCAGCTGGGTCCAACCACTTAGTTGAATTGTGGCTATTCATGGTTTCAAGTTCATCAATAGTCAGAAAATGAATGCAGATTAATATGAGGAATTGAATTTAACTCTCATTACCCTGGAGAAATGGCAATGGGGATAGATGTTGTGCCTACTTGCCTAACGGATCCTTCTTCTGTTAGGTAGAAGAAGGCACCTTGTCTACAGAAATATTTTCACTTGGACAAATGACCAAACCAAATAATCACATGTATCCTTTTAAACAACTAAAAATATGGATTGTGCACTTTTCCCTCCAACAACTAGAATAGTGGCTGAAATGAACAGATGTAGTATAAAATATGCTTATATGAATGAATGAATGAATGAATGAATGAATGATTTTGAAAAATATTCATCATTTTAGATCTCAATTCTGAACAATATCAGTCTTCTTATATTCTGAGATAAAATTAGAAAAGGAGGCTTGGAAAGGAACTTGGAAGAAAATGGTAGAATTCAAATAACCCTTTAAGGTGTAGAATTTTTGCTGTGGAGAAAGGAGCACCTTATTAGGCTATTTACTTACACATTAACAAAGTAGGTGCTCTACCTTCTGTTCTTTGTTCTTGAGGAAAACTGGAATAATTATTTGGTTCTTTTAAATCAGCTCTCTATTTCTGAATACTTGTTGTTTTCTTTATCAAATCTCTCTCTCTGAAAATAGATACAACAAGATACTCTGCAATAGCAAAGTATTTGCTTCTATAAAGATTGTGTATTCTTCTCTAGACAATTATATAACCAGCTCCATAAGCAAGAAAACCTTTTTATATGGTTTTTCTGTAGTTCTCTTATGTTTCAAATCCCCAAGATTTGCTGATCAAAACTTTGTAGATTCTGTTGCACTAATACACTCCCTTTTGGGTTTCTTTCCCAGAAACAGTGGAGCCTCCTTGTAGCCACAAGGTAACTGCAAAGCCTTACCCACCTGTTTGTCTGGAGAAGACAAGATAAGCAACACCCCACCATAGACTGTGCCCAAGGACCTGCTGAGCAACCCACTCCCCACATCCTGCCTGTGCACAAGGCTAAAAGAATGATCAATATTAACACCTAGCTCATTATACTACTAAAATCCCCACCCTGGGAATGACTTAGGCACCATTTTTTGATCATGAGATGTATGTACTAGCATGATTTCTCACTGTGCTTACATGCCCTGCACTCCACCCCAAACATGTAATGATGCTCACTCCCTTCATACATTATTCATTTCATCTCCAAAAAGTCTCCTGACTCTGTTGGTCAGAGAAACAGATTTGACGCAGTCCATTCCTCCCACCTTCTGGTGGAAGCATCCTCCATAATAAATCCTTTCTTCCTTGACAATCCTCATCTTCTCAGCAATTATGTTTCTGTGTTGCAAACAACCCAGAGTACCCCTCTTGCCAGTTTGTTAACAGTTACTCATAAAATAAAAAGAGCTGAGTCTTAGACACTGAGGGTCATGATTATCTGAACTTTAACCAGAAGTAAATGGTGGGCACAGAATTTTAGAGGGCTCTGCATATTACAAGCCCTGGTCAAGCTCCAAGAAGGGCTTCTTCATCGTACCTCTTGACAAAACAGAAGCAACTGCTCTTAGTAAGTGTGGAGGTGTATGTATTATGCTGTTGTTGAAGTTTGACACAGACCCTATTTCCAATGGTAGAGATGATTTAGTGGTCAGGCGTGTGAAAGGTAAGGGAAAAGACAAATTAACTAACTTGCCACATCTCTTTTCTTAGGTATACATGCAACAATCCTGCCCAGCCAGGTACCATTTCCCAGTAGTGTTGATTATCCATACTTTTGCTTCCTATTCCAATATGCAGCATCAGTGGCATTTTAAAAATGTGCAACATTTGTAAGAGTCATTAATGAAAGCTGACAAACATTTTATAATATAAAAAAATTATATTTCTCTCAATTTTCAAGATAGGTTGGTCTATATTTATACTCTCCAATATGGTAACAGCTAGTCAGTATAGCCATTGAACACTTGAAGTGAGGCTGGTTCAAAGTGCTATCTGTGCAAAATAAACACTGAATGCTAAATATTTAGTATGAGAAAAGCAGAATGCACTATATTTTAATAATGTTTATATCAGCAGCCCCCAACCTTTTTGGCAACAGGGACAGGTTTCATGGAAGACAATTTTTCCATGAACTGGGGCCTGGTGGGTAGATGGTTTGGGGATGATTTAAGCACATTACATTTATTGTGTACTTTATTTCTATTATTATTGCATTGTAATATATTAAAAAATAATTATACAACTTGCTATAATGCAGAAGCAGTAGGAGCCCTGAACTTGTTTTCCTGCAACTAGATGGTCCCATCTGGGGGTGATGGGAGACAGTGACATCTAAAGTGTGTTGCTTATGTCCCATCTACTGCATAATCTCATTTTGGTTGCCGTCACTGCAGAAAGCCCTGCTTCACAAAGATAGGATGTTGGAAATGGAATCCAGCTTTTCAATGCTTTTGTGGCAATCTCAGGATATTTTGCCTTGACTTTAATCCAGAACATATGGAGATTTGAAGTTATCTCAAACATACTTTTAAGGCCACTGTCATTTGCCATCTCAAGCAGTTGATCCTCTTCTAGCATGGACAAAGTCGATTCACCTGGCTTATTCACAAATGGGTAGCAGATCCATTACTTCCCAGTTTGGGGGTCTTTCATGTTTGGCAAGTAATGCTGAAACTCTTTTGAAAGCTGAGATGAATGACCATGCACCACCTGGAAGAAAGAAGGCCCTGGTTCAATCTTTTTCAAAATCTCTGCTGATGCTTGAAACATGTCAAAAATACCAATGTTCTCTCAGCGTCCCCATAATTTCAGTTTGGTTTTGAATATAGCCACTTTATCTGCTGACTTAATCACTATTGTCATTTATTTTCCCCTAAGTGACAGACTGAGTTCTTTGAGCAGGTTGAATATGTCACACAAGTTAGCAGGTTTTGTGACCCATTCTGTGTCACTGAAATGTGCTGCCAATGGTGACTGTTTTTCTAAAAGAAATCCCTAGAGCAGCTTTCATAACTCCAAAACTCTGGCCAGTGATCTACCTTCTGTATATAAGAGAAGATGCATGTGCTCTGTGCCCATCTCCTCACAGGGCTGCATGAGCAGACATGAGTTAAGTGCATGTACTTTAATGTGGTTGATAATTTTAATCATATCCTGCAAAACATTGTTGAATTCAGGTGACATTTTTCACCTAGCCAGCATTTCTCTATGGATGACACAGTACATAGACACACATTCAGAAGTGACCTCCTTGACCCAAGTAGTGAAACCAGAAAGTGGTCCAGTCATGGCAGGCTCTCCATCCGTGCATATACTGACATAAAATGATCAATTCAGTTTTCCTGACATGTAATCATTCAAAGACTCGAAAGTTCTGCAGCTGTGGTATTGGTTGGCAACAAAAATGTGCATAGCATATCTTCCTGAAAAATATATCACACAAAAATAAGCATTGTTGTCAATACTGGTAGAATCATCAACCTGGATTGCACACCATGGTGACTTATTAACCCTCTCAATATTGTACCTCAATATCCTCTGCTATTGCATCAATTCATCTAGTTACGGTGCTAGCTGAAAGAGGAACGTGTTGTTCCCTTTTGAACTGCAGCCTCTCCTAAAAGTTCCTTGGCAAATGTCCTTAGCAGCAGGCAGGATCAACTCTTCACCAATAGCAAAGGGCTTTCTAGCTTTAGCAATGCGGTTAGACACTAAGAATGATCGATGCTCTCAGTGCAGACACATTTGATGAAGTGGTGGCCTCCAGTAATTGCTTCTGTCCTTCATGTTCATGTTTTTTTCTTTTGAAAAACTCCAAAGGCTAGTCTTTTAATGTGGAATGCTTGGTCTCCATGTGATGAAGCAGTTTTGAAGGTTTCATGGCTTCGTTGAATGGCTGGTCACCACATATTATACAAAGCAGGCTTGGAGAATGTGAACCACCTGTTGCAATGAACCCATAATGTAAGTAGAACTCTTGGTATTGTCTTTTAAATGAAGCTTTCATTTTCTTGGCAATCTTAGAGTCTTCTGCTGCTTCATCATTTTCTCTTTTCCCCTTTACAAAGTAACTCTCCGGTGACTTTTTTTTTTTCCTTCTAATTCTTGCTAGGGTTAGCTTGTGAACTTATTAAATCTGTGACTGAGACAAGTGTGCCCTGTGGGAAAGAGGCACTGATGGAAATGGTAAATAAAATAATGGGCGGGCCACACGTGGACTCATGCACTAAAATAAGTGTCAGATTCTGACTTAAAGCCTTCCACCAGATGCCGCTTGTCACTTGCCACTCACTGAGAGGGGTTTGATATGAGGCTGCAAGCAATTGATTTATTATGGTCTCTGTGCAGTCAAACCTCTCTGCTAATGATAATCTATATTTCCAGCTGCTCCCCAGCGCTAGCATCACTGCCTCAGCTCCACCTCAGACCATCAGGCATTAGATTCTCATAAGGAACATGCAAACCAGATCCCTCACATGTGCAGTTAACAATAGAGTTCATGCTCCTATGAGAATCTAATGTCACTGCTGATCAGACAGGAGGCAGAGCTCGGGCAATGATGCAAGTGATGGGAACAGCTGTAAATACAGATGAAGCTTGGCTCTCTCTCCTTCACCTCCTGCTGTGCAGCCCAGTTCCTACAAACTGGAACCCATCTGCAGCCTGGGGGTTGGGGACTGCAGTTTTCTATTGATTTTAGGTTGAAATAATATTTTTGGATATGTTGGATAAAATAAAACACATTATTAAAATTAATTTTGCCTTTTATTTTTTTACTTTTTGCATTATAGAAACTAAAACATTCAAAATGACTCGAATGACTCACGTTATATTTCTATTGGACAGCCCTTGTGCAGAGCTAGTGTGGGTAGTGTATGATTCCAAATCTTCACAGAGGCACCAAGATGGACACTGAACATCAGACAGCAGGATAGTTGTATTTTATAACAATGTTTAATAAGATTTAATTGAAATTTTTTAAATGGTTGATTTTTTTCATTTTTTTCTTGATAGTTTTTTAACTGTCAGGAAAAAGTTCATTAGATAGCACTAAATGTGTTGCTAAAGAAGAAATGTATACAGTCTAGAATTGTGGAAACAGAGCTAGAATCATTCTTTGTGCTATGTACGAGCCTACATAGTCACAGATTACAAAGAAACATGGCTTCAACTATGACAATAGTGAAATTTGAAATATTTTGTATAATACAATTTTAAATCTCACCTTATATATATAAAGTGAGATTTTGTATTTATTTTGTATTTTGCATTTCTCAGACATGCTATGAAATATCAATATACACTAGAGGAATTAAGGAAAATAACAGAAGTTACTTAAGTGAGGAATAAATGGAAAACCACACCCTAAACTCAAGAAATGCTGAGAAAAGAGGATTCTTAAAGATCTTGATTTATTTTTGGAAGTATCTGTGAAATTTCTGTATTTCATGTTATACAAATATTATATCAAACCATTATCTTGTTAAATGAAGTTAATTAATTCATGCCTTGACCCAGAAAACTAAAATTATTAATATAAAGAATCTGTCTTAAACAGTATTCTTGTTTGACCAATTCTATAAAAGATCTGAGAATCTCATGCAATTTATGTAAGTATGGAATTGTACCTTTGAAATGGTATAAAAATGTATATTATTGTGACAAAAATTTGAGGTTTTAATGTTTATCAATTGTTTAATCTCCCCATAATTTTATACAGAAGATGCTCAAAATTTTCATGTATGAGCTGCACAAAATTAATTGAAGAAAATGTTTATAATGTATAATGTATCAAAATCTCCCCTGGGCTAATGTAAATAATTGGATAGGGCATTAAATATATTAAACCAATCTTTTAAATGCCAATAACAACAAAAAAAATTCTGAACTATAATCTTTGAAAGAGAATTAAATCACTCTTGAAATTGTGCTATCTGCAGTAGTTTGGTATGTACTGTCACTTATCATCAATAATATTAGCAAACACTTAAAAGGTAAACAAATCTAAGGTTGGTTACTTCAATCTTTGACTGTTTAAAGTACACTATTTCAAAATTTAGAGAAAATTACATTTCTAAGTTTAAAAAAGCATATGAAAATTATAAGAAAACTGACTTATTACTAACATATGAAGAGATTAAAGAAATGAAAATGTTTGCATGACTCTAAAGGAGAAGATTCACATACAAATAATACCAAAACTAATTTCTATAAAGACCATTTCCTGATTATTATAAATTTAAGATATCATCTTAATAAGGAAGAGTTGAGCAAATTGAGCCAAGTGCTTCTATATAATATCCTAACATTGAAAAATTAGAAAGAAGTCAATAAATGTATAGTTCTAGATGCTGTATTATAAGGTGGTGCAATATCTTGATATAAAAAATATGAAATTATAAAATTGAATTAAATATTGTGATAGTCTATGTAAAGTGTTAATTTTTAAAATATTACCCTTATTACAGAGTTTGATTTTATACAGTAATTATAAGCATACATATTGCTTTATAGTTGTATTAATAACTTTAGACAAATATTTCCAAAATGAAATTATTAAAACAAATAAATCCTGTCTAAGCACTATGATGGTTCAGTAAAGGTTGTCTAATTTGGCCTTACTCTCAATAAAATACGTATAGTATGAAAACCCTGATTATGAGTAATTTTGTTGACATAAATATACAAAAAAAACTTAAATAAACTCATAATGATTTATAATATATGTATGTTTTGTTTTATTAACCATTCAAGCACTTTCCTATTTTCAATGAAAGAACCAAGCATGTGTTTTAATAATTTAAATTTGGTCATTTTTGATATTTTGCTGGCCTTCAGTAATAAAGTATTACATAAGCTTAATACATATTTTTCAATGTTTTCACTAGAAAGGGATACTTGTCAACGTAGAAGGGTAGAATGTACTTCATTTAATAGCCTATAACCTTGACTTATGTAAATATTTAATCATATTGCATGTGGATATACATTTGTAATGTTTCCCAGGTCCCACAAATATCAAACTTAAAGCTGGTGGTAAGATTTGCTCTTGAAGGAAGTGAGAATTTCTATTTTTATTAATCATGTTGAAAAGCCAATAAGAGTGTCAAAATATAATTTTCTAAAAGTTAAAAATATAACTCATAAAGACATAAAATAAGCCAAGTTAAAAACTTTAAGGAGGAATTAAACCCAAGGTTAAACTGGGTCACTGGGGTATTGGAAAGACCAAAGTATGTGTAGTCACAGAAAGAGAAAAAAGTGCCGAAATGACATTGCTAAATTAAATGTAAAACCGTTTAATGTCTTCTAAGACCATAAAAAATAACCTTTAGAGTTATTTTTTTCTATCAGGCAAAAATCATTTGCATCTTAACTCGACAAAATTCATTTGCAATTTAACAGTCTTCTAAAGGTTAGTATCTAACTGCACAGCGTCTGGTACTTTATCAATAGCAAATAGTAAATCAAATAAAACTGAATCATCTTAGAAAATTAGATAAACCTGGAGCAGACCTGTTAGATCTCTCATATGCCTCAAGAAGGACATGTAGTCATTCTTTTGCATTCTAAGTTTTGGATACTTTTTCTTAGTAAGGGAAAAGAAATAAAGTCTTAAGTTGGAGTGAGGGACTTTTTTGTCTAACTGAAGCTTGGATAGCAGGCCACGACTCTGATAAATAGATAGACCCCAAAACATTCTATGTGGTATGAGTAACATGGCCCCAGACATATAGAGGTAGACCAGAGGCCAGGCCAGGAGGTGCCCTGTGACTGGGACCCTTCAAGGAGGGGCTTGGACTGGTACATTCCAAAAGCAGCCTTATTTCATTGTGATTATAATTTATTCTGTGTTTTGATAGCCTTCTTTTCTCTCCAGCCTTCAGTAAGACACTACCAAGTGTTCATAGCCTTGTCTTCAACTGTGTTGTGGGAAATTAAAGTAAGGTTCTGTTCCATGTTTGGGTGAAGTATTCATGCTAGGCATGGAGAGAAAGGGGAGAAACAGTATTTGTCCTCACACTAAGACCAGTGCAGTGGTAACAGCACTGGCTTATGGAAAAGTGACCAGGGAAAGAAATATGTATGAAATTACTTATTGACATTGTTGGGCACACAAAGAATAGGAGTTACATAGGTCCTGCGTGGCTGATAGCAGTGGCAAATGAAGATAGGTCATGTAAAATACATACCTTGGCAGGTGTATAGCAGAAATACTTGGAAGGGGATCCTGGAAAAGACTGACCTTTCCCTTTGGACAAATGAGTGAGGACTCAGTGTACCTATGCTTCTTAAACTGTAGTACAATGATTACAGGTGTAAACTCTACAATCATATTATCTGGGTTCAAATCCTCTTAATATCTATGCAAATTTGACTATATTACCAAACTTCTTTATTCCTCAGTTTCCCTATTGGTAAAATAGGAGTAAAGCATACCTACCATACAGGGTTGCTATGAAAATTAAGTATCTATCTATCTATCTATCTATCTATCTATCTATCTATCTATCATCTATCTATCTATCATGTATTTTAAAATATTTAAAATAGTACATATTATACTGTGTACCTTTAGGTTATTTTTCTTTTGGCATAAGTGCTATTCCTGCCCTCCTATGTTCACCTTTTAATTGTAGGAGTGATAGCCTGCAAACTGTATTTTTCTTTCCATTTGGGTATAGATTGGAAAGTAAGAGGAAGAGAGATAGCATTTCCCTCTACCTCTTGAGATGCCTTCGGCAGAAGTAGTAGCAGCAGTGTCAGATGGGCTCCTCCATGGGGGTGTGGCTCCCAGGTGCTCACTCATACGCAATAACATCAGGGGCAGAACCTCCAGCCAAGAAGTGGCAAGGCAGGGCTGTCAACCAGGAGTAATGCCACCTCTGGATGAAGGAATAACTCTATATACTTCTTGGTTCACCCAGCCCTTCCAACAATTTTCTACCTAATTCCCTGCAATAAATCTCTCTGCAGCTGAAATATCTAGAATGATTTCTGTTTTCCTGATTGATGGACACAGCTATGCCATTATTAGAATCATTTATAGTAATATTGTTATTACTATCCTCAGGAACATTATCCAGGGACCAAAATGTATAACAATGTAACCTTCCTACTCAACTTTTCCAATCTACTACTATAATTATTTTTCCAAGATTGTCCTTGGACCAGAAGTATATGTAATGAATGATCAAAGTTATATGAACTGATGTGTCATCTAACTACTCTATTGTAGGTTTATCTCCTTCACTGATCAATGGTCTAATGGGAGGAGAGACTTAGTTCATTCAAAACCAGTCTAAGAAAGATCATAGCTATATTGGAGAACATACTTTGAACAATTTGAAAAATGTATAATCAATAATAATAGAGTTGTTATGCCCTACATAAGGCAACTATGTCTAGAAACACTGTGTGATTTACTTGTAATACATTATTTTTTTCCAGCTATCTATTGATTATCCGTGACTTATAACAGTTTGAAGAAGGAAATATACACTGCACATGTAATCTTGTTTCACAGCTGAAGCAAAGTTCATTTCCAATAGCCATTCTGCCTTGGTACCAGGAAATTTGATAAACAAATTTAATATACAGAACTATAAATTTACAGAAGAAATTGTGAATGTGAAGGCTAACTGAAAAATAATTTTTAAAAAATGGTCCAGAAAATTCAGAACTTATATAGAGGGAAAGTATCTGGCTCAGCAACGGACTTAAATGATCTAAGATTAAAATTAGTCTGATTCACATTAGGTTTCCTTAATTTTTCTTTGATTCTCATTCTTCTCTACCTTTAAAAACTTAAGTCGATCTTTGTTTGTTTGTTTGTTTGCTTGTTTGTTTTTGAGACAAGGTCTGGCTCTGTCTACTGAGCTAGAGTGTAGTGGCGTCATCAGAGCTCACTGCAACCTCAAACTCCCGGGCTCCAGTGATCCTCCTGCATCAGCCTCCCAAGTAGCCACCACACCCAGATATTTTTTCTATTTGTTATAGAGACAGTTCTCACTCTTGCTCAGGCTGGTCTCAAACTCCTGGCCTCAAGCAATCCTCCCACCTCCCACCTCAGCCTCTCAAAGTGCTAGGATTACAGGTGTGAGCCACTGTACCTGGCCTTAATTCTATCTTTGAATTATCATATCCTTCTTTCCTCATTGTCTTTTCCTTTTAGACTCTGGAGAAGACTATTACTGAATTTGTCATCTCCATATACTGGCTTTCCTGGCAAACAAAAGGCTCCTTATTACATGGTCACGCAAATATATAACTAGTCATGAACATTAGCTGCAAAAATAACTTTACTTTGGATGACTCTTTCCAATGGTTTTCTTGGTAAGTCAGAACTTTTTAATAATAACCTTTAGGATATAACTGTACAATATGTGACTAAAAATAAATAAGAATGATATGCATATATGACACGTAGAAACGACATCATTGTTATAGTCCCACCACTTGAAATATTTGATTAATGTGTATGTGAGTTAGTCTACTACTTTCTGAAAGCTAGGAAAAGAAAATAGAGTGCACTGCTGTAATATAATATGAAGAGTCATTGATTGGAAGACAGTAGAACAAAATAAAAATAACGCTGGTTTTATAATCAGACTACTTAATATCAATGCCTAACTCTTTCTTTCTAAGGATTATTATATATCTCTCTCGCTCTTTTCTTTCTCTCTCTCCCTCCCTTACTCTCTTTTTCTCTTTCCTCCTCTCTCACAATTGCTCTCATTCTTGTTTTCACTCTCCTTCACTTACATGTGCATAAGACACATACACAACTCATATCAAATGGAGCAAAGTAGAGACATGAGCCAAATTCAGCCTGTCACCTATTTTTGAAAATAAAATTTTGTTGGAATATGGCCATACCCCTTTGTTTACATATCGTCTATGGCTGCTTTTTCTCTCCAAAAGCAGTTTAGTAGTGAAGTGACTATCTGGCTGCAAAAGCCTAAGATGTTTACGATCTGGCCCTTTACAGAAAACTTTTGCTATCACTAGTTTATAGTAAACTCAAGAAATGTTAGTCTCCCCATTTTTTTTTTTTTAGTTTGAGAAACTACGGCAGATCACCTGGTGTCCTAATCTTGGTTTAAGACCATTCTTCATAAGAGAAACCAGGGTTCCTTGGAGAAATGGTTGATTCTGGAACTGGGGCAGAAAATATACACTATGAGCTTGGAGCATTTTGTAGTACCAGAATGTAAAGAAGTGCTTAAAAACAAAAACAAAACAAGTAATGGAGGTATGTCATTTGGGTACAGGAGAAAAATGAAAGTACTCCCAATGGCTAAACCTGGAGCAAGTTGAGTAAATAAATAAATAAATAAATAAATAAAGATTGTATTGGATTATAATCAGAGTTTAAATTAGTCTCAGTGAATCCATATTGACATAAATAACTGATTAGATAAAGAAATAAGGGAGATAACAAACAAATTTCCAGTGCAGAATTCCAAATAATTTATGTTGACACTGACCTCGAAGAGGTGGAATATAACTAACTGTCCACATCTCAAGCCTGAGCTACCTTCCAAAGAGAACAGCATGGAAAAGAAGAAAAATGAATTACTTTACAGTGGAGAAAGCTGGCAAATGGTATTTCAAACAGGTGATCAAAGTTAACATCAACAGTAATAAATCAGGTTGATAATACATGCCCTTGATATTATGTGATAAGAATGGTATTGTGCCTCCTCAGTCTTCCTCCACAAAATATACATTCCAGGTCTGATCATTAGAAAAATATCAGATAAATCCCAATTGAGAGACATTCTGCAAAATATCTGATCAGTATGCCTCAAAACTGTCAAGGTCATCAAAAAACTAGGAAAGTTAGAGGAATTGTCACAGCCAAGAAGAGGGTAAGAAAACATAACTGCTAAATGTAATGTGTTTTCTTGGATAAAATCCTGGAACAGAAAAAGGTAATTAGGTAAAAACTAAAGAAATCTGAATAATTATAAACTTCAGTCAATTAGATAATAATTTAGATTATTATGGTTAGCTAATGTACCAATATTCTTGTCATATTAATTATAACAGATTTATCATGTAAGATAGCAACAAGAGGGAAACTAGATGTGTGGTATATGTGAACTCTCTGTATTGTTTTTGCAATTTTTCTGTAAACCTGGAACTATTTTAAGTTAACAGTTTATTTTACAATTTGGCAGAAAACACCCATAAAGTTATTGCACTTGACACCTTTAGATGTAGAAATTATTTCATCATGGGTCTTACAAAGCAAAATAGAATTAACAAAAGAGTTCCAAATATGTTTATTCTCTTACAGTAATATGCTGTACTAAAATGTTTTACTTGAAAACTTTTGCAGCTTTCACATTTATAACTAATGGGCTCCTATCCTAAAAATGCTAGAGAAATACAAAACTCTATTTCAAGTAGAAAAGACAAAAATAGTAGGAAATGGCAGCCATGCTCTGAATATAATAAAGTCATTTAGAGGTTCTATATAAAAGCAGTGCAAAAAAGAAAGAAGGCTATAGTCAAAGGGTAAAATCTGCTGGGGACATATTTAATTCAAGTATTGTATTTTGGAAACTACCCAAAAAACAGTAAGAAAGTTAGCACCATCTCTGAGAAATTATAGTGAGCAATACAAAAGAATGGCAGTTCATTTTTATATTTGGAGGGAAAAATCAGGATAAGAAAGAGAATAAATTTTTCCTACATTTGAAGAAAAAAATACTCTAACCCATAAATATATTTCCTAAGAAATAACTACCTCCAGGTATAAAGTGTGCAGCAAGGACAATTCTATGCCAAGAATAAATCTAAAATTAACACAGTTCATCCTAGGTATTGCTAAAACTTGAATGCTTTAAAAAGTTAAGCAAAGAAATCTAAAGCTGTAATCTGAAGTGTTTTAAGTCCATGACAACATACAGAGTTATAAAATGAAGGTTTAAGCCAAATTAAGCCATGCTGGAAACCTTTCTGAAAGAAAAACTGATATTGAACAAGGACCACGTCAGGTCATGTCAGAATAGGGTATCATTGTCACCCTGGGCCTCTGATGCCAGAAGCAAAGTGATAGATCCTGATTCAATCTCCAGGAAATCTTTATTTCAATATATACATATATAAGGAAACAATTCAATCATTTAGAAGACTGATGATATTTCCACCAAAAGGCACATTATTGTGAATGTAGTTAACCACAAATCTAGGTTTTCCCAATGTAATAAGATAACATTTAAATCACCTTGCCTTTGCTTTGAAAATACTTTTTAAAAACACTGATAGTGCTCAAACAACTCAAGATAGTAAAGTGATTTCACCTATGTATTCCCTAATGCTAGATCAGAAAATGTCTTAAATAGAAAATATGTATTAGCTTATTAGTGCTGAATATTAATACGTAAATATAGAAAAACAATATAATATGCAATTAGGAATTAAGTTGCCTAAATACTTTTCAAAATGTGATTATGCTGATTAGCTCTAAACCGAGTACACAAATTCTTCACATGTTTGCTTTGGCCTATTATCATTGCTTGGATCTTTAAAAAGAAAACAACTTATATTTCTATCAATAAAGAGCAAAACAGTGAGGGAGAACCAAACTTAAGACTAATCCCTTTGCCTGTTTGATAGTTATGCTGTTTAATTTCTTCAGTAAAAGGGAAAGATTAATTTTACTTGAACCATTATAGCCTTCGCACACATCACTTACCAACATTCATTTATTTAACAAATGTTTATTGATCACCAAATTTGCATCAGTCATTATGTCAAATCTCTGGGAATATCACTGTAAATAAAATCAGAAAGAGTCTCTGTTTTCAAGGAGTTTATAATCTGATAGAAGAGACTGATATTAGTTAAATAGTCGCAAGAACAAATGTGACATTGCTCTTGCAATAATTGCTAGGGAAGACAGATGAATGGTGCTATTTGATTTAGTCAAAGAGATGACAAAAGCTTCTCTAAGGGTATCATACTCGAGATAAGATATAAAGAGTAAGTAAAAGTTTACTAGATCAAGGCAAGAGGGAAAATCGTCCAGGTGGAGGGAAGAATGTACTCTAAAGCTTTATAGTAGAAGGTAGTTTGGGCCATAGATGAACTTTGAAATCCATAGTAAGAAAGTTTACCTTTTCCATAAGAGAGTAGGAAGGCATTTAACTTTTAACCAAAAGTGACATGACCATTTTTTCACTTAAGAAATTTCATGCAGTCTCTACAAGGTGGATAAATGATGAGATGGGGCTGGCCTGGATGCAAGTAGATTAGCTGAAGGGCTATTATAGTATCAGGAGTCAGATAATGAAAAGTTAAGCCATGATGTTTTCCCTGGAGTTAAAAAGTGGATAGGTTTGAGAGCCATTTAGGAAATAATATGCGCTGGACTTCATGCTGGATTGCATATGGGATGGGAAAATAAAAGAGAGAAAGAGAAACAGGTGCAAAAATTAGCCTCTGGGTTTCTGACTAGTAAAACCTGATGGATATTGGGGCTATTCATTGAGATAGATTACCAAAAAAGATCATTAAAATGTGGGAAGATGATGTGGAGTAGAATGAGTTCATTTTGAGATGATGAGTTAAGAGACCACTGAAATATACAAGAAGAATTGGCACTTCCAGAATGGCTTTTATGCATGAAAAATGTCTGGAGCTCAATAAGAGGAGTGATCTTTGGGGCATTTTAACTTGCACTACTCCCATCACCCTCTTCCTGGTTCCATAATAGCACTGAAAACCAACAGGCTGAATATTTTATAGTTGTAACAACCAGCAGACTAGCAGCCACTGGAGGGAGCAAAGTGGATTTGGAGCTTCCTATATATCTGATCCCTAGAGAAACATTTAATCTTTCTAGCAGCTCCTATGTAAAGCTCCGTTATCAGGGCTTGCATTTATTTGATCTAACTCAGAACTCTCTCTGTTTAAAAATATTGGCAATTTTTTAACATTGCAGCTGACTGAGGCAGTGGTACCAACTATAGCTAATAAGAGGTTAACTAAAAATCTTAAAGGGAAAACTGGGGAATAAGATACCCAGTTAAGATACCCAGCATTTGTAAAGGTCCAACATATTTCTGGAAATCTAGAAGGCCATGCTCATATGAAAGGCTATACATATATCCAGGAATGAGAAGGCCCTAATCTTTCATGTCTGGCTGATATTGATGCTTTGCTCAAACAGAAAGTAAAGACTAAGGCAGAGTTTTATCTGTGTGTTAGAACATTGAAGGGATATACTACCATAAAAACAGTACTTCTTGGCAAAGACTTGGTGACTTATTGGTTCAAGGTGTTTTAGGAAATCTCTGTCTAATCATTATCTGATTAAGTTA